TTTCACATGAGCTAAATAGCCTTTGCATGGTCAGGATGCTTACGCTTTAGAGTCTTCACTTATGCTGATCCATCAGTTTCAGACAACCAGATACTTGGAGGCTCGTATTGTTTTGAGAGACCATGGGGCACACTTTTGTGGTGGCAAGAAATATTAGATTTGACAACATGACTGGTCCTCTTTCAGTTTAGTTTCTTTTTTGCAGGGACTCTTTTAGTTTAGTTTAATCACCTGTCGGGATGCAATTTGGTTTTTGACAAAGGGTGGATTTCCTTAGCTTAAAATTGAGCATCAGGGATACAAACCCAGTGGGCACACACCGGCCTTTGCATGGTTATAGGATACACACAACCAACATCAACACATACACAAAAAACACACTGGCACTAAGTCAGAATCTGAAGCGAGCTGTTGACTCTTTCAGTAAAGTAGTGAGGGAAAAAGAGGCATGTCAGATTGAATTGGGAGCAATGAAGGGTCATATGGATTTATTACTCAATCAACTTGATTTACTTACAAACAAAGTGGACAAGCAAGACTCCTGTATAGTATATCTGAAAAAAACAAGGAGTTTGGTATGATTGCCGGGCAGGCTGGAGCGAGCTGTGCAGCATGCAGTACGTCAAAATGAGGTCAATTTGAGTGAGTTACTTGACAGATTTAGAAATGGTAGACTCTCTAAAGGAGGTGGAGAAACAAAATCAATATTTATGTAACATCACTGAAGAAAAGGAGAACATATTCACATCAACCATTTATAAGGAAACAGAGTTTTCTTTTTTTTTTTTGAAAGAAAAGGCAGAACAATTTCTGCCTTATGCATTTCAAAACAGGTATGAAACCTGAGTGACCGAGGTCAATTGCATGAAGGCAATGTTAGCGCTGCACGAAAAATGCAGCTGGCCATTGCCAAGCCATGTTGAGCTAGGAACAGAAGAAAAGGGATGGGAAAAGAGATACAAAAGGAGCTACAGGATGGGGAATACGAGAGCCTATCAAAAAATCTCCATCCACCGAAGCATGATCTGCTGGTCTGCAGAGTTCTTCGCCCAATGATGCCATAGGTGAATCATGTTGGCTGCTTCACTTAGTAAGAGAGCATCAGGCCATCTGTTATTGTCAAAAACTCAGGCATTTCGAGCGCTCCATAAAGTGACCGCACACACAGCAAAAAGCACATGCCATAGTTTGCCAATTCTGTATGATGCCAGAGGTGATGAGACAAACTCCAGAAGGCTGTTTGCCTGCACAGCCAGGTCTAGCACCCCAATTTTCTTCCAAAGGACATCCGCAGCTTTGCATCTGAGCACCAAGTGAGTAATTGATTCAGTGGCAGGGCAAACATCACATCCGTCATGTGATGCAATAGCTTTCCAATTCTTTTTAACCATGTTATCTTGAGTGTTCAGCCTACCATGCAAGGCCAGCCAGAGAAAAACTCGGTGGCACATGGGGATGATGCTGTTCCATATGAAAGCAGCCTGCGGCCAATTCATACCTCTGAAAGTTAACAAATTATAAAAGTACGCCATGGTTGCTTCGCCCTTGTGAATAGAAGAAACCCTTTTATCACCGTGTGTTAGATCCGGCTGTATGTTGCAAAGCTTCGCCAGCAGGTCATCCAGTTGCCGTGCAGCGGTCATAGACAGGTTGGGATGTAATTGAATGTTCCATTGCCCACTGTACTGAGAGGCCACAGTGCATAATTTGTTCCTGGCAAAAGTGAAAAGCGCGGGAAAAGAGTCCCTTAACCGGCCATTGCCTGACTAATCATCTAGCCATAAGGAAATCCTGGAGCCGTCTCCTAACGAACACTTTGTAGCGTTGATGACCAGAGGCATCGAGTTTTTGAGGCATCTCCACATAGGTGTATCTCCATTGCTTGCTACCATTGGAATGGTGCGTTCACAGTATCGTCGTGCAAACCAACTAAAGCAGGGCACTTCACTATCTTGCAACACCTTCATGGTGAAGCAGCAGATCATAGCCAAATTATGCGCACGTAAATCCCGGATTATGAGTCCCCCAGTGCCCCTGGGGAGGGTAACAACATCCCAGGCCACAAGCATTGCCCTCCAAGGGCAGATTTCTTTCCTTGCCACAAAAAACCCCTGAGAATTTGCTCAAGCTTACCCAGGGACTCCTTCGGCCATAGAAAACAGGCCATATAATAATTTGGTATAGCTGCAAGTACAGAGTTTATCATAGTAAGCCTCCCTCCCCAAGACAAGAAGGTTGCCAACCAGCCAGAGAGTCTTTTGTCCACTCGGTGTATGACTGGCATCAACATCGCATGGGTGATCTTGTTTGTTGACAACGGCAAGCCCAAGTAGTTACAAGGAAAGGTTGAGACCGGACACTCTAACAGCTCAGAAACTTGCTGCCTAGTAGATTGCTCCATGTTGATGGGCACAAAGGTGCTTTTATTGGAGTTGATCTGCAGATCAGTGAAGTCAGAGAAACGCTTAAGCATCCTCTTGACGATTGCGTCTTGCTCCACAGTCCCTTTGATCAGCATCAGGGTGTCGTCAGCGTACTGCAGCACCGGGAAAAAGGAATCCATCTCCAACGGATGTAGCAGATTGCCTCTCCTGAACTCCTCACAACACATCTGCTGCAGCACATCTGCCACTAAAATAAACAGGTAGGGTGATAATGAATCCCCCTGCCGGAGACCACACTTTGCGAGGGTCGGCTCCCCCAGTTTTCCATTCAAAGTAACCCTTGCCAACTTGTGTAGAGAAGGTTCTTGATCCAGAAGATCCACCTTTGTCCAAAACCCCTGGCGGCCAAAACAGCAAACAGTGCGTCCCAGCTAACACTATCAAAAGCTTTCTTGAAGTCTAGCTTCAGTACAATTGGTATCTTCTTCCTTTTTGCATATTGTACAAGCTCTGCAGCGAGGGAAATTTTTTCAACAATGCATCTGCCAGCAAGGAAACCAGATTGTAGTGGGTGCACTAGTTTAGGTATCCACAGCTGCAGCCTGGTAGTTAGGAATTTTGTGGCTAGCTTGGGGAGGCTATGCACCAAGGATATAGGCCGGAAGTCTTTAATCTCCATTGAAATTTCTTTTTTAGGCAGCAAGACAATGGATGCAGAATTGACGCCTGAGAGATCGGCATTATTTGCATGAAAGTCACTGAAAAAAATCAGCAGATCAGGTTTCAGAGTTTCCTTGAAGCATTTGTAGAACTCATTTGTGAAACCGTCCGGCCCAGGACTACGGTTGTTCGGGGAACGTTTGATTGCAGAGACGATTTCAGCCCATGAAAACTGCTCTTCTAGCGAGCTTAGGTCGATCGGATCATAGAGCGCTGAGATATCTACGACCGGTACCGAAGGAGAGGCCTGTCCGAACAAGGTGTTGAAATACTCAGTTGCTATCCTGAGCTTGTCCTCATCATCAAAGAATTCGATACCATCCTTGACAAGAACTCTGATTTTGTTCCTTCTTGAATGACTATTTGCAGCAGCATGGAAAAAACGGGTGTTTTCATCCCCCAAAGTGCATTGACAGATTTTTGCCCTTTTCTCCTCCAAATGCTAGTTTGCCAAAGGATTAACTGCTGGACTTTCTTATTGGCATGATCTCTAAGACAAAACTCCAAGTTAGAGAGTGTCCTGTACTCCTCAACCGCATTCAAAAAGTCCACAACATGCTTGTTATTTTCCATGAGCAGCTGAACACTTCCCCTGCTTCTACCCCACTTGCGGATGGCAGCTCGAATTCTTCTCATCTTAATGCTGATAAGAGATGTAGTCGCAGCAAAGGCCCTGGTGCCTCTAGTCCAACCTTCTGAGATAATCCCCCTGACCTCTTCAATATCCAGCCAAAAATTCTCGAACCTGAAAAAATTGCTTCTGGTGGTGTCTTTACTGAATTCCACGATGAACAGAGCATGATCAGAAGTTGCGGCCATTATGGCAGTGGCCACAGTTTGGAAGAAACCCAAATTCCACTCGGCGTTGACGAGCACCCTATCCAGCTTAACAAGCATTGGTTCCCTTCTCTTATTGGACCAAGTATATTTGCGATTTGCAATATGAATATCATCCAAGCCATGTTCTCTAATCCAGCTGTTAAAGTGCTCCATGACTGACCAGTTTATGCGTCCTCTAGATTTCTCATGGGCAGACCTGTACATGTTGAAGTCACCCAGCAGTATCCACGATCTACCCACAAGAGCAGCAGCTTGGTTGAGGTGCTGAAAAAAATCTTCCCTTTCTGAACTATCACATGGGGCATATACAGTGGTCAGTGTGGCGGCATTTCCATTGGAATTTGACTGAAAGGGAAGATTCAAGCTCTGAAGTTTTGTTTCCTGCAAGCACGCAACGTCAGCACGGCTAGAGTGAGTCGCATCCTTGATTAAAGAGCATTTATCAGTGTCACCAAGACCGCATATGTTCCAGTTTAGAATCCTCATATTAGATGTGGGGGACACACAAAAAACAAGGAAGAACAAAGACAGAGGACAGCAAGGACCAAGGAGGTACTCTGAATGTAAGACTGGAAATTCATTTGAATAGAGACAAGAGATGCAAATACAAATAGGATGCAGATACAACAGCCGCAGACGCAGCAGACCGACACATGCAGATACAACTACCCCTGAGAGTGACATGGACTGAAGATAAGAACGCATGACAAGTCTTGTTGAATCTATTGAAAAAAGAGTCTTGTTGAATCTATGAGAGAGTTTGAGAATCTTGTTACAGATCAAGAAACTATCATTTCACAGTGAATCTAGGTTGGCTGTTTTTTGTTTCATTCTTGATATAAGGTTTATATGATCGAGATTCGTGATCGATGCTGAAGAAATTCGCGGACAAGGAACATAACTAAAAAGAATTTCTATTGATAATACTAATTCAGACACCAATTACATCAAGAGTAGCCCCATTGGCCACGTTTGGTTCCAGAGACCAAATTCACATCTAGACTGGCTAGAATCAGCCGAGCTAAGCTCTGATTCTGATGGTTAGCACGATTTACACTAACAGCTGAGATACACTGAACCTGGTGCCATGGGTGGTTCATTCAGTTGGTCCATACGAAGTAAGTAGGGGCAGACGGGTCCCATGGCCGGCGTCCAGTTGCCACACCCGAAGAAGCACTTCCCCTGCATCGGCCCTGGCACGGACACCACGCCTCCTCTGGTCGGTACCCTGCAGTAGCAGAAGCACGTCCCAGGCAAGCCATCGCAGGGGCTTATCATGTGAGGCTGCGGCGGCTGCTGCTGCTGCTGGATCAGCGGCGGCGCCAGCGCCGATGAGCCACCGCAAGGGCTTGTGCGAAGCTGCGGCGACTGCTGCTTCTGCTGGATCGGCGGCGGCGGCGCCAGCGCAGATGAGCCACCGCAAGGGCTTGTGAGAAGCTGCTGCGGCTGCTGCTGGATCGGCGGCGATGGCGCCAGCGAGCCCGTGATGGTCATCTTGACCCCACGCAACATGAGCTCAACAAGAAGCCGCGCCGTGTTGCGCGCGTCATCCAACCCGCAGTGCAGGCGGCCCTCCCAGTCCAGTCCCGCCGCCCGGACCGCCTCCTGAAGGGTGACCCGCCCTCCGCCGCCGAGCGCCGCCTGGAAGGGGACCCTCAGGTTGATCCAGCGATCGAAGTAGGACGGCTTCTCGATCCCCTTGAAGCGGCACTCTGACTCGAGCATGGTGCGGCAATCCCAATCTCCCCAGGTCACGACGGCCAAGCTCCCTGCCCCCGCCGTCGCCGCCTTCAGCCAAGCCTCGTGCAGCCAGAGCGCCTCGCCGAGATCCACGCCGCTGTCGACGTCCTCCTGCCGGATGCCGGTGAGTTCCCTGCAAAATTGAGTCAGCACAGGGTGATGTTTTGGACGAACGTACCTGCGAAACGCCGACTCGATGCGGCCGGTGGCGCCGTCGACGAGCACGGCGGGGAACTTGATGATTTCCTGCGGGAAGATCCTCCCGTCTTTCACGCACGTCGCCTCGAAGTCGACCACCACGAAGAAGTCGAAATCTTGCACCTGCCCCTGCCCGCGCGCCGCCATGTTCGACGGAGTGCGCGAGATGGGGGGAAGTTGGGCGGCGAAGATAGGGGAAAGATCAGATCGAAAAACTAGGGTTGCGAACCTGTCGGTGCGTCGTCCCCTTCTTTATCTTTATCTTTATCTTTACC